TATTCACATGTACGCACACTAATATACGATGTGTTTATTAATATAATATTATATTATGTACCTATACAGTCGACCCAGCGGCGGGGCACATGGGTACTTAAGTGAGTACTAAACTGTAATCATTTTTATATTCGTAGGTTCTAGGTATATATTATTATTTTCTCATTAAAATATGGTATTGTTGGGAATACCTATAATTTACTGGTAGACGGAAAAAAAAAGTCAAGTGAAAAGTTTACCGAAATACTTTTTTTTTGTATAGTTCTATTATAGTTGTACTTTGCATTTCAGTGTGTAATGTATAAAATGGTAGATCACATAGGCGTGCACAGAACATTTTTGCTGAGGGTGCATAGTACAAACAGATTGAACATTTTAGTATGTTACCTAGCCACATAACAAGTCAGGCCAGGATTAATAAAAAAAAAAAAAATTAATAATAATTTTAATTATTGTATTTCTCTTAAAAGTCAATGTTAGTTACCTATGTTAATAATAATTTTAAATTATAATTCAAGATGACGTGTCTATATAGCTACTATCCATCGACTATCACACTGCGATAGGTAACAGAAAACGATTGTCGATTTTAATCGTGTTTCGTACAATGTAGATTCGTACATATAAGCATTGGTAACACCCATCGTGTGACCGCGGGTTTGAAAAAAATTATCACTTAAAAAGTATTATTTATCTATCTATTTATTTCTAAGCTGAACTCACTAGGGGTGCAGTTGCATACCCTGCACCCCCCGTGTGCACGCCTATGGTAGTTCACATATATTTGTTATCTACCATAATAATTAGGAATGGGATTTTGATGCAGAGTCGTCTTTTTTCTGGTGTTTTGAAACGTTGGTCCGCAAGTAAAATGTATTTTAGATGATTAAAATATACTATAATAATAATATTTTATCTTATTATACATATTTTCTGAGTTTTTAGAGCATTTTTCACAATTTGTTCATAAAATGAACGAAAATTGTTGCGATTAACAAAAGATTTTCGGCAAACTTCCGACGATACAAATAATAAATTAAACAAATTACCGCCTTATTATATACTTATTATTATACCGTATTATAATGATTACAACATTTTATCATTATGTCGATTATTATTATTTATTATTATATTGAAACCGATTATCAGTATTTGTTCGACTGCCAATCGTTAGGTATACAAATAAAAAGTAACAATTAAAATCAAGTCTATATTATTAAAGGTGGCACGTTTTACGCCGGGGCTTTTTTTCCGCAATTTATAATTACGACAATTATTATTTTATAATTTATAATTTAAAGGTTCCACTATTAAGTGTGATTTATTATTCTTATTACATAACATATATGCTTCTGTTTATAGGTATGTTGACTATTGCTAAGGTTCAGCTTGAGCAGTGTGGCCAGTGTGGGCCTTGCCGGCAATTTAATTACAAGTTACAAAAGGCCTCAGATACAGAACATAATAAATAATTATTGACTTAAACATAGTTAAATGTGATGATTTTTGTTTTCAAAATGTTCAGTGCATACTAGCGTGTAATTTAATGTAAATCAATAACAGACAACAGTTCATATTTTTTTGTTTATATTTTACAACTTGAAATTATGATTTCTCCTTACAGTGACATACAGACGAGGAGACCTACTGAGGCCCTGCGTAAAATGTGCCCGCTGAAGCCAAGTAGTTTATGACGTTTATTATTATTGGATTATTGTACGTGCAGGTATACGTTAAAACTTATTTTTCAGCTACTTCTTAGAGTTTTTGGAAATATCCTATAATATTCTATCATCATAATATATTGAGTATAGAGGTACATTAATAGACTTGCAGTGTAGGTTATAATTTACGATAACACGTGTGGCCGTTGTGACATATCGATATTATCACTATACGTATATATAATATATATGTTATATCCATTCGTATATAGAGGGGTATTCGAGCAATCGTGCATATAGTGCATACCTAACCTTTACATAAATCTTAGGTATATATAATCACATATATATATATGAAAAAGTTTAGCTGTATAAACGATCGTACATAATATAATAAAACCTCTGGATAAATGTTTGTATTGCGGAACAATACGATATAATAATATGATAATATAATAATATTATATTTAAAAGATACATATATGCACGTCCGTCGCCGATGGTACCTGCTGCAGCCCGCACACATAATATACACACGTGCACGCATATATATATATATATATACATGCAGTGTGTTATGAGTTCACCGAGTATAGGTACGAGTGGTATGTATAGTGGTAGGTAGTAATATTATATTGTATAATAATTCCAGCCGGATGCGTGTGGTCAGTTTGACGAGCGGTGACAGTGATTCGTGCGAGCACCTGAGAAAACACATAGCTGCACACATATATTATATGAGTGCCTACCCGTGTATACACATTGGTATATACGGCCGTGCGGTAGACGACTACAGGAGTCATGTCCATTTTGGATCGATCAAAAAAAACACCTCTTGTATGGGCCCTGTTTGAACAATATATCGGCGTTTGGCCGCAATCCGATTTACTTATTCGTATACTGCATATTATATTTTATATATATACTATAACTCCATAACAATAATATACGGTGCATCATTGTGTCGCCCACTATATATAAACTCGTTATGATGACGGTTTTCGCACGTATTTATGGAATACGCAGTCTGTGGTTTACCCACCTCTCCCTTCCCAGACACTCCAAATTTGAATTAAGTATAATATATACTTATACGTCCTCACGGCTTAAATACACCATCACCGCGTATTTACTCATCGGTTAACACATACACACACACACACACACACGTCACATCAGCATAGATCAATGTAACACGGCGATTTGGATGTACACGTTTATTATTATATAATATTTATATTTGTGTGTGTGTGTAGCATAATATGTAAGTGTATAAATTTTAGGATAGGATGTGTTTTGGTTGTCGTCACCTGCGGCTGCAGGAAACCTTGCGGATTTGTCTGATGGATTACGAGTGGGTTTCATTCATACGGAATAATAATGATGGTAAAAAATAAATACGTTTCGACGACGATTATTTTTTCCTTTTTTCAACCACTCTTAAAAATGTATAGGAATATAATATTATATGGCGCGACGAAGTTCTCACAGTCCGACAGACGTCCCTCGCGCTCACTGTTCAATGATATTTTATGCGCCTTGCTAAATCGTCCACCGTCTGCAGAACTGTGTACCTCCATCATGCAAACTGTCTATATACAGCGGTATTGTATATATAATAATAATTTTTCTAGCAATTTTTTTTTACGAGCAAATATGAAATACGTGAATGAAGACTATATACATAACACGTACGTGATTATATACCTTTATATGTACTCACTATTAAATATACCATACACCAATGCACTTCGCACACGATTGTCTCCAAAGACATACATTGTACGATAAGTGCCAAGTGGTCTTTATATTATGTGGCATTTATAATCTATATAGATATGACTATGTTTATAATCATTAGAGTTTCACACTTTCACACCTGCAAATATACATTACACAATACGCAGGTCTCCAGAACACCGCAAATCCGTCTTAACTGAATAAAAATAGAAAACAAATTGTATATATCTGCCTATTATATTATTATCTCCTTGGGTGATAATATAGTAATCAGATGCCAAGCATTCGAGTTAATGTGCATGGGCTTAGCGTAATGCATTTTTATTGGAGGGGGGCTTAAGACTACAATGTTTCGTGTATCTATATAACATACGAGTATATTCTAAAAATGGTAACTAAAAAATACATGGAGGGGCTAAACGAAATTCCAGATAGCCCCCCTCATTATATTATACCAGTAAAATAAAATAATGCAGCCTAATAATTGCTACACTACACACACTTAACAGAATTTTGTCATTTCTGTCCCTAAAAATTAGGTACCTATGGTATTGGTTCAATCGCCAATATTGTATTGTTATATAATAATCAATATACATTGTCATAATAATTGTATATAACTAAATCGTAACAGCTAATTTCAAAATCTTTTYTTATACGGTCTATACCTACATCACCGCAGTTTGATAAAAATTAAAAATAATAATAAAATCATCTTTTAGGTATATTATATTAATGATCACAAACCAAATGCAAGTCATCGTTCCGTTGTTTTTATAGAATATTTCTTGTCTCTATAGAAATATATCAATAAATAAACTTAAAATTTGTTTAATCATTTAGTTAACAATATATACCTATAATTTAAAATTTTTTTTTAAAAATGACGAATGAGTCGTATAACAAATGTTTAGAAAATACGGATATCTCTTTAGGTAAAATATTTTATATTTTTTATCGATAAAAACTAAATTACTTGACGGCTATAAATATTAGGTACATAATAAGATATTTATATTTCTCTATAACAAAGATCAGCGTAATAGCTAGTTAATTAATAATAGTAATATTATTATTAATGTTAGATTATGTTTGGTATAGTAAAACCGTTCATAGAAAATCACTTTTCTTAATTCATTTTTCACCATATTACAGTACCTCTTGCAGTGAGTTTTGCAAGTAAATCTGGAATAGAATATTTATCATGTACTAAAATTAGTCTTGCAAAAACAGTATATAAGACAGTATCCTAATTTATTAGAACTCTAATATTATGTTGTGAGATGTATTATAAATTTAGATGATAAACATGAATGGATTTTGTTTTCCTAATAATTTATATCCAACTTGAAGTAAAAATATATCGAAATTGTCAAAGAATTCAGATTAAAAAATTAAATTAAAATAATATAATAAGGTTAGAATATGTAAAAAGCTTAGGTATCAAAACATTCAAAACAACAATATAAACCTAATTTTTACTAATGTTTGATTGATTTATGGTTATATTTCTATATTTGGTATTTATTTTATGATATTATTGACTATAATGACTTTTGATTATAGATTCAACGTATATATTTGCTTTTTTGTTACATCAATACATTTATTTTATATCCAAAAACAAATTGTTATTTATTTAATTAATATTTGTTTGACAACTTTTGATTGAAACTGMACAGAAATTTCGTCCCGGATCTTTTAAAATACAATATGAGCATACATTCAGGGTATTCTACGGAGATCTAACATTCTGACAAATGAAATAACGTTTGTTTTAATCAATATATACATATAATATTGATTAGAACAAAAGTTTTTTCATTTGTCAGAATTCCGCGGGACACCTTTTTATGGGACGTGACTCGTCACGCATAATATTATAATGTTCCCATAATCTATAACAACTCAGCAAATTAAATTTTAACCGTTAATTATTTAAAAACGGCTGATAAATTGTTTTGATTAGCTGTTACCTGCAGTTTTCAACATATCATTTTATTTTACGATGATTTCTTTATAAATAAATATTTATTAATTATCATTATTATTATATAAACATTGGCGTCAAGGTCCCGCGCCTAATGCGTATCACCTTGCTCCAACAATCGGTATGCCAAAGAAAACTGACCCAAGTTTTTGGCAATCGCCGGCTTACTCTCTAAGAGGCAAAATCGAATTTCCAATTTATGTTGCAAGTCCCGGACCGGTGTACGGAGTGGACYGGATGACGCGTCATGGCCGATACACCAACGCCAAGGTCGACATCGGAATGGTTCTCAATAAAAGTGTGTGCACAATAATAACCTGTTCGACAAACAAACACATAGTTAATATTATATATAGGTACACGAAAACATTTAATCATATTATATATTATGTCGTATAACACTGCTGTATAGAGGACAACGAACGAAGTCCCGGACCCGCTGCCTACTTGCCGTGTTATCCGAATTTGAAACGAGCGCCCACCCCAAAACTATTATTGTCATTCCTAACAGACGGAGAGGTGAGGAACATTGGCCCGTCACCCAACGCATACACACTGCGCAGCGAACATCAATCGTCGATCAAGAGTAGGCGAAAAGGATACACAATGTAAGTTTACAACGCAGTAGGATAATATGCACTGCGGTCTGCGCAGCGCAGTTACATATTCAATACACTACTGAATGCAATGTTTTCTTGGCCGAGATAATGCAGCCGATGCAGATGTAAAAAAATATATAATAATCGTCAGTAAGTGAAATAGTTATTAGCAGTAGTAACGAGCACGGAAATTTCCAATGGGAGGGGAGTATGTATGTTATGATTTTATAATATACATTTTACTATAACTTTTTGCTAATAACTAGTAAAAAGTATTAAATAATGACTCTATAAAACAGCTATAGTAGAACTAATTACTTGTTTTCTGTAGATCGGCAAAAAAAAGACAATGGGTGGGGATATAACCCCTATCCTCCCCCCCCCTCGGATCACGCCTATGGTTGTTGGTTGTTACAGAGGCTTAAGTGAGGTGTGTTAGGCAGCTGCTGACTGGTAAAAAAAGAACACGGGATGTTACATATTTTAAAGGGCAAATAACAAATAAAAATGTTTGTAGCAAATTTAAAATATGTAGAGTATTTCTAAAATTTTAAAATATTTCATTTTACTCCAATAAAACTTTGAAATTAAGTAAAAAAACGTAAATATAGGTACCTACCAAGTTACAACGCAAACATTCAAACAAAATAGTAAAATATTAGATTAAAAACAAATCAGATCAAATACATCTTAGGGCAAGATGGATGTAGTAGCATAATCCCAGCTAGTCCGCGCCTAGTGTTAGGTATAATAGTAATAATAATAGGTATAGTGTGAGTGATAAGGTTATGTATTGTCTACGTACTTATATAGTTAACGGCAATCAATTTGTTTATAAGCCCCCTCTCCACCCACTCGTTATTGTTACGACGACCAACGAGCTATATACGCTCTATCTTCATCGTGCACTATAGTAAAAAGCACCTATATAACGTCATCGTCAAGATCGAATTTTTGTTCCTGTTCCATGTAATATAGAAAGTGGAGGACCAAAGAATGTGGTAGTAGGACGATGAACGATACCGGAAGTCCCGGGCCGGCAGCTTACAGCTCGACCAATGCGGACGTGTACAAAAACCACTCACCGGCCAAGACGTTCGGCATATATTTACCAACAAGCGATAAGGGCTGCACAGAAACCCCACATGCGTATCAAATCGTGTCCACCCATGGGTGCGTTGAACGTTGCAAGCCGAAGAAATTCACGTTCGGCATGAGGCACCCTCACAAACACCCACCCTACGTGCTTCCAGCCGACAACTGTCCCTTATGACTTATTATTATACGACACTATACACGTAGAAACTTATGGAATACGACGACTACGATCCTATAATAATTATACAGCAGTTTCCGTGATTATTATATATAGTACTTTATTCACCCGTTTTCGCCAAAATTTAAATCACCTATTCTTACCACACCCCTAATTATAGATACTAAAAATTACAGGTAGGTAGGTACTTTTCAGTTATAGGTACTATCTCGCCACTTGTTAGAACTCCCGCGATTCTTCGTCTATTTTTAAAAACACGAAATCGAAGAAATACATACAAGTCTTAATGTAAAACATTTAATGATACCAATAATAATATCCCATGTTTTATATTATATACCTGGTGATTCTTTTATATCATCGAACACTCATTATTTCAAAAATTACTTATGTTTTTGAAAATATTTTTTTACATAGTTTCAAGTTGTTCAAAAATCAACGTTTTTATTAAAACATTTTATTATCCTTATCATTTTTTAAGTTTTTTACTTTTTGGAATGACAACATTGAGTTTTAATTTCATATTCCAAAGCAGAATATTTTTCTTAGTATTTTTATGAATCAAAATGCTTAGGAATATGAAATTAAAACTCTATGTTGTCATTCAAAAAAGCAAAAAACTTAAAAAAATTATAAGGACAAAAAATATAATTTTTTAATAAAAACGTYGGTTTTTWAACAACTTGAAACTATGTAAAATAATATTTTCAAAAACATTAATAATTTTTGAAGTAATGAGTGTTCAATGATAAAGAATCACCCGGTATATAGAAAAAATGTATGATAATATTAATCATATTACATCAACTAAAAATATTCAAAACTTTAATCTGCTCTATTTTTTTTAAATCTGTTAAAACTCAGATATTAACTCTATAACACATTTTCATATAATATGATGATTGGATTGGCGCCACATAAACCGAAGTATACGATTATACGAGTCAATATAATTAGTTTTTGTGTTAATATGAGAAAGAGAATTGCTGATTCGTCAATTCTAATGTTGTCAAATAATTGGAATAAATTAATTCATTTTTACGACTTGCCTGCCTGTCACCAATGACCTATCGCGCATCAAATCAAAATTTATATAAATACCGTATAATTAAATGAATACAACCTATTCGACGTACAATATTATAGGTGGGTATACTTACCAGGAATTAAGAGTAGCATTGGGAGATTACCGGTAGTCGTCAGGCGATAGTGATAAGTGGCAATTGGGAAAAAAAACCCGGGAAAAAAATTCCCAAAGCTATTCTTAACTGTTGTATACAGCCGTCTAAAATAATAATTAGTAATAGTAAAAACATTTAAAATTTGAATGATAACTATTATACTCGTAATATTATTTACATTTACATATATCACACAGTTAGATTACGCTAAAAATAAAAATAATTACCTATGATAATAATTAATAATGAACAGTATTAAAAACATAAAATAAAAATAATAATACATTTTGTTCCGACCATTATATCATTTTATTATTTGTAAAWCGTACTATTTTATTGATTTCGATACGTGGATAAAGTCTTTGTCTGTCGATAATTTGATCAACAGCTATATTATACGTTCTGGACTCAAACTAATTGGTCAATCGGTGTTACATCGAAATCGTGTTTATTGAGAGGACCTTACRCCGACATTTGCTGTCTCCGTTTGAGATGTACAAGTCAACTTTTCAAACTCTACAAAACAAACGTTGGGGATTTTTTTCCTAGATTCGTGATAAGTACCTACGAAGTTAAACATATAGGTATACCAGGAGTGGTCCACGAGCCACATGGATATATATACAATGATATCAAACCAAGAGCCCCAATGTTTATGAACATATTATTTTATAATTTTTATAATTTTATCGTTTTTTTATCATCAATCAATGAATATTGGTTTTTCGTTTTTAAAAAGACACGAACCACATATGACTACGTTGACCACCCCACCTGATATATATTGAATTTTTCCCAAGCTATTGATATCTGTTGTAGTAGGGCTGGTGTTAAGGGGGGCAGAGGCAAAGCGGGGAATTTGTTCAGGGCCTTGCATTTAAAATTTACATTGAAAATATTTTATATGGAAGACGTATAGTTCAGGGATGGCCAAATTGCGGCTCACGTCTTATTAAAAACAAAAAAACCAATATTTAATAATTAAAAATAAAATACGATAAAATTATAAAAATTATAAGATTCATTTATAAACATTTTGACTCTTGATATCATTGTATTTATCCATGTTGCTCGTGGACGTATTAATGTTGGCCACCTCTGGGCTATAGCCCTATAGGTGACTATATAGTTATTGTTTGAATAAGTTTTGCTCAGGGGCCAGGACCTCGCAAAAAGTAGCACCGGATCTGTGCAGTAAGTAGTAGGCATATTTAATATTTAAAACTAATTTTTTTTATTCACGCATTAATAAATTATATCATAAGCAGAACTTTTGGAAAATTCTCAATTTATTATAGGTCTGCCGAGAAACACACTTATTGTGCCTGATAATTCTAATTCCGTCGCATATTTGGGTTAGGCTAGGTTAGGTGTATGTTTTTTGATTTTTAATGAATATTCACTTACAAATTCACAAAATCAATCGAATGAGAAGAAAGGACATTTTATATTTGACATAGTCATCTGCAAGTATTATATTATATCTATATAGATACTACCTACAGTATAGCAGTCCGGACTGATCTCGCAGCTGCATCAGATTACCTGCAGGAACCAGAATTGGATTTAGCTATGCATCATGAAATTCTGATAACTTCACCTAAAACATATGATTATAATATTATAACGGCTGATGAATTTAAAAACTGTTGTTAAAAATTATCATACAACTATAATAATGGGTTAAAAGAGCGATATGGACCTGAAATGGCTGAAATCGAAATTTTCTGATTATAGGTATTTGGATGACTACAACCTCGATATCCATCCCCACCCTATTTATGATGCCTAACTACATCATATATTATAATATCAACAATATTATATAATATCCTCGTAGTAGGTATTTACGTACAATTTACAATCATTTACTATACGTTTATTTGATGGCGTTAAAAGGCTTGCAATATGTAGCTTAAGAATTTCAAACCGCTTTAACGACATCATAATAATTATAACGTAGTAATAATATAATAGCCACTGGGTGAATCTGATTGTTAACCAAAGATTAAAAGAATATTAAATACGGTTAATATTGATCACGATGGTGTATAATATAGTTATTAGGTACTAATTATTAGTTATTTCCTACTAATTGGCTGGCGCAATCGCCGTGTGTTTAATTTGGGTGCGGAAATTGATGAACCAAAAGCGACCGCTCCCTCTTCCCCCGTCTGATGTATTATAATAATATAACTGTATTGGTCGACGACCTCGCCGGACACCGTGCGCGAAATCACCCCTCGGACATAATGGGCGTTTTACGTTACGGACTTATATCGTATG